AAAAATCGAAGAATTTCTAAAACCTCTTGAGAAGACCTTGACGGACCAACAAAAAATAGATCTGGATCACCCCCTGTCCAAGGAGGAAATTTGAACAGCGATGATGCAAATGGATGAGGAGAAGATGTCGGGCATAGATGGGTTCCCCAAAGAGTTCTGGGAGACCTTCTGGACTGATATGGCCCCAGACCTGATCGACTTCTATAACCAGGTGTGGGAGACAGGGCCGATGGGCGAGCTGGTGGGACAAGGAGTTCTCACCCTACTGTTAAAAAAATGGGACAAGATGGATATCAGGAACTATAGACCAATAACTTTGCTGACGGTGGTGTATAAAATGTTAGCGGCAGCTCTGGCAAACAACCTAATTCCAGTCTTGGACGACATCATTCACCCAACACAGACTGGATTCGTCAAAGAGCGTAGGATCCAAGATAATATCCTATTAGTCAATGAACTCCTCAAACTAACGAGACAAGATAAACAGAACGCGGTTGTGGTCTCCATTGATTTCGAAAAAGCTTACGATCACGTGGACTGACAATTTTTAGACATGCATGGAAAAAATGAACATTGGACCTGTTTTTCAGCGTTGGACCGAAATCCTGCATCATAACGCCACTACGTGTGTCCAAGTCAATGACAGGGTGGCGCCAGCCTTCCCGCTGCAACGGTCAGTAAGATAAAGAGACCATCTAACACTCTTCCTTTTCATAATTGTGATGGAGGCACTGACAACGACCTTCGCGCCAACAAAGACTTGCGGAAGCTGTAGTTCTCGGTCATCCCTGACGACGCGATCCCCATCTGCTCGTTGTTCGCAGATGACTTAACAATTATGATAGATGTCACAACATCAAATATGGATGAGATCAGAAAACTATTTAACCGATTCACAACGATCTCTGACATGACTGTTAATTGGGGAAATAAAACTTTGGGTTGGTGGATTCATCATCAAGGAGTGCCCCCCCCGGAGCTTCCACGGGTTAAGTGGCTCCCCGAAGAGGGTCCTGCTAGGGTACTTGGAATCATGCTAACAACATTAGGTAGGTCTGCATCGAACGATGAGTGGATACTGAAACCCGCTTTAGAAAAGTTAGCCCGCAGGAAGGACCAACACACCTCCCTATTCGGTAGGGTGTTGGTGGTCCTTTGGTACAAATATGCAATATGGGCTCTCGGTAAGGAAGCCAACTGGTCTCTTAAGCGTCAGGTAACGAGCCTGTTGTGGCGAGGCAATGGTGAGCTCACGAACGTCATCTGCAGGGTAGCTTTGTCATCTGTGATCCAACCTAAAAACAAAGAGGGGTTGGGGATTTTTGACCCGGAAACACAGGTCACAACAATAATGGTGCAATGGGTTAAGAGGCTGCTCTTTGCACAACAGCTTCCATGGTACGCCCTGACAGTACAATCGATGGCCTGACTTGCCCCGCAAGCACCACATGACGTTCACCCGCTGACCTGCTCAGAAGACCGTTTCTGGACTGTGCCACGGGGCACTCGGGGCGGCCGTGAACCGAACGGAGGAATAATCCGGACGGACTTGGCCCGAGACGACTTCTGGGCTAGGGTTTTGAGAGCCTGGCACCAAGTCCCTCTTCCTGACAACCCCCCTCCGACTAGGTGGGAGGAGGTGATGCGCCAACCCCTGTTTGGAAACAAGAGGATCATTGATCGATATAGCAGGGTGTTTTGCAGTTCGGTCACCCCGTGGTGTAGCTGGGTTAAAAAAGTCGTTATTAGAATAAAAAACATTTGGAACTCAGAGACGAGGGATTGGAAGACGGAGCAGCAACTGAAAGACACACTAAAACACTGTCACAATATTGAGGAGAACTTTGAGATGTTGATATTCGGAATTCCCCTAAACTGGGTGCGCATCTTGCGCAAAGGGCGACGACTGGAAGAAGGGGGACTGGGTAGTTATACCGGGCGACTTACAAAGTGTGGGAAATGTGGTGGACGTGCAGTCGGATGAAACTTTGATTAACCTTTTTCACATAGGCAAAAATAATGTCCTTACCCGATACTCCCCAAATGTGACGAGATGGGGAAAAAACAAGGAACTACTAAGGATCCGTGTGTTACAGGATAAGGACGTATGGACTGCATATCAGTCACACACCAATTGGTAGAACTCCCCTTGGATCCCGAGGAATGGCAGTGGTCACTCCCACGAACAACCAGATCCCGGGGGAAGACAAAGCTGCAAAACCTAACAGGGAAGGCAACGTACTGCTTGTTGCGCCCCAAAGTAAACATTAAGAAAAAGGTAAAGGAAAGATGAAGATCCCAATTAAATGTAGGGATTGAGGTGATTTGTCCTATCCGTTGGTTCTCTATCACCAGACCTAGGCCAACAAAGATGGCCTCACTACAGAGGCAGATAAAACATCGTTGCTTACCCACCAACGACTGGTTGATAAATTGTACTCATCTAGAGCAGAGAGGACAGGCGTTACCTTGGTGCAAAGCGTGCCACACTGTCTTCCCCTCCTGCAGAATCTCGAAAACTATAGAACACATATTCATGCAATGTCCGGGTGCAGTCCTCACGTGGCGATGGTGGGATAAAATCTCGTCCCGTTTGGAAACTGGGTCAAAATGGCCTTGGGACAGGAAAGCCATACTACGAGAGACATGGTCCTCCCCTACGGACAACACTTTTGAAAATAACATGTTTAAAACAGGAAGGAGAGTTGTTATGTGGTCCCTCTTGAGGAAACGTTGTATACATGCCATACAGGGATCCCGCACAGTGGAGGGAGAGGTGACAGATATGATAACACAATATTAAGAATCAATTGGACTTGTTTCACTCATTCAAAGATGTAATACAAACAATCCAGCAATTCTCAAGGGACTGGTTAGGCAGTGAGAATGGGGGCTGAATTGCCTCCGTCGGATGGGAAGGCAAGCCTGCCCAGGGAGACCACAAGGGAGAGTTCAGAAAGGACTACCGTATTTGTTTCAAAGACTGGACAGTGGTGGGTCAGGAGTTCCCGCTGCGACCATCCACATAATTTTCCGACCCCTTTCTGCCCCACCAGCTAGCAATGGTGGACCTGCAATGGTATGGAACCGACTGTGCAGTCTGAGCGAGGGCATAGCATATAATCGACGACAAGGAGCGCAACAATTCTAGCCTCATAGAGCATAGTCCAAACAAAAGTTTGTCCCTTTGATGTTCGAGGTCAACATTTTGAGATTGGAGGTTGGGACTAGGTGGTAAAAGAGGCACCGGGGGAGGGAGAAACTAGTTTGTAGCAGAGGTATCTGGCGCCTGGTTCAGGACGAAGAGGTTCTCTTCCTTTTTCTAATCTCATGCTCAGTCAATCCTTTGGATTCCAGAGTAATCAATGTTGGCAGGAGTCTCCTGCTCCCTTTTCCTAATGTACTCTAAATTTCTTCTGTATATGGGACGCTGGACCCGTTTTCCAGCAGGTGCTTCTTCCCACCAATAGATAAAGTCTCTCCTCATGTGCTTAAAAAAAAAAAAAAAAAAAAAAAAAAACAGTCACATATTGATGTTTCTGGTTAAACAAGAACATTTGTGAAGAATAGTGCATTTGCTACAGTCAGTTGAAAATCCGATTTCATCTATGGGATTCACACAACATAATTCATAGTCATCCCAATAGATCAGTATAGAAGGTGAGAGAGTTGCAGACTTCAGCATACACAGAGTACACATCAGCATACACAGTACACGTCGGTATACACAAAGTACACATCGGTTACAAAATCTCAAGTACACTTCTGCATAGTAATGCGTCAGGTACTAAACTGTGTTACCGACAGGTAAGGCACCCCGACCGGTTTCGACCCCCGCCACGCGGTCTTGCTCAGGGGGAAACCACCTTCGTCTTCCCTAAAACTTCTCCCTTACTGTCCTCTAGCCCACCGCCGTCTTCGTACCTCCAGCCATTTCCGGAATGACTAGTTTCCGTCAACGTCGGACCTGAAAAGATGGTACCAAACACAGTCTTTCCTTATATCCCTAATAACTACGGTACCTCGGATTCCACTAGTCTCTAACACTGACATCCAAAGTGCTGCAGTCGTCCCCTCGTAGTTAAGGCTAAATCCTCAAAATTATTCAAAACAAAACTGACAATCCCAAAATACCAGGCCCTTTTTCCGGGCACTAGCTCAACCTGGTAACCCACATACTGCAAGCTACGTCAGGCCTAATCTCAACACTGACCAGAAAAATTTTCCCATCTGGCCCAACTCACACACTTGTTGGACAAAACTCAAATAAAAGGCCCCTATCACATTGAATCATTATACATCTTAATCCCGTTTTGCTACAGCAGGCCTCCTTGACATTCTAGCTATAAAACATATGAAAAAAAACCCTATCCCATTGAACTTCTGCCGTCGTGTCTCGAAACGATACCAATCCATATTCCAAGTGCTTACCCGATTATTATACGTAAACTGTGTTCCTATCTCAAAATACATCCCACGCCTTCCTACGTATCATACCGAGCATACAAAAGACAGATATCCAAACAAAGCAGCTACATTCCAACGGTTAGACTGTGGATTAACCCTATTACATTTATTACTAAATCGATCAAGGCAAACCAGTCATACGCTGCGATTGATGCGTTGATCGAGCTGACCCTGCATCCACTCATTAGTTGCCGGAAAATATCCTCAACACTACTAATAACTATAACAACCGAAGCACGAAACAAAGGCTAACAAATCACAACAGCCGCAAACCATTCCATCCGTCAAACCGCATCTCTCTCAATTCCCAGTTCGTGTACGCCTACTTACTCGTAATCCAACTATGTGTTGCAGATCCAATCCCTCGTGAGTCTCCAGATCTCCCCCTTCCCAGTGCAAAAACTCTTCAGAGTTCTTTCAACGAACTCCTCTGGAAACTCTTTCAATCTCAGCTCCCTGCTGAGTGTCAACACATGCCACGGAATTTCCGACCGTATGGTCGTGTTGATGTCGATACGATGCAGGTAGCTGGACAGTACAACGTTCTTTTGTTGTCTGCTACCCCATGACTTGTAGTTCTATCCACTCTTGAATTCCAAACACTCTTTCTCCCAAACCGACTTCTCATTCTTCCACATCTGCACGCTCCCCACATAGGGTGGTCCCCTGTAGGTGCGCATCTCCAAACCAAGGAAATCCCAGATTCCTTTCCCCTCATCAGTCCTCTTCAGAGTGAGGTTGTCTGGGTAACAGGTTTCAAAGCCCTTCCAGATTTCTTCCACCCACTCATTCTCTCGCTTACCTCCCATGTCGACGATGAGACTAACGTCATCCATCAGTCGCAGTCCATTCACTCTGCTTCTCGCGTTCCCCAAGCTGTTCAAAAAGTTTCGTTCAGAGAAGGCGCACAAAATACAAGCCAAAGGCGGGCTTGTACTTTTGCCCATCGGAATACCCACAATCTGCTGCAGAAGCACACCAGTGGCATATACATATGTGTGCTCTAAATCAACTTGCACAAAATTCCTGATATCTTCGAGTGACATCTCACGCCAGTGGTCTGCTCCAGTGGTCTTCCCAATCGAGCTCCCTTTCCCACGCGTGTTCACCCGAGCGGTACACTGTCCTTTGCTTATGTAGTGGTCAATGATCCAATTGACCGCTCTCATTATGTTGTGGTGTGGCAGCTTACAGAACCATAGGACTTCACTGCCAACTGTACCTTCAATATCGCCTTCCCCTCACATCTTTTTTTTATCTTCTCCAAACGTTGTGCTACATCCGATACTGATCTCAGATTAAAATGTCAATGAGTCGACAAATTGAACAGCAGGTGATTCAACGCTTTCGCCACGCATTTTCCTGTCCTTGTGGCTGGATCGCTGTACGATGGGCAGATCGGTCGGTATCTTTCGACGTCCTTATGCTTCGGTTGGATGTAAGCCGCTCCAAATGTCCCCTTCTTATCGTACCTCGCAAATTTCGCCAATCCTTCATCCTTGAACTTCATATGTACTTCTTGCTTCACTTCTTCCTCTCGTCGTAGAACGACTTTGTAGCCTGGGTTGGTGACGAATGAACTCATCATGGCTTCGTAATATACCAGAAGGCACATTACGAATGTCTCGCCTTGATTACGGTCCAATGGTGTGAGCACTAAACCTTCGAATCTGGTCTTGGTCTGCTTCACAACTTCGATATCCAAGTAGTTATCCTCCTCGATATCACGGCTAATCATACACGATCTTGCTTCCTCCATTGCTACGTGCACAACCTCGCCTCCACCGTTCTTCCACGTTCCGAAAGCAACTTCAATCTCTCTACACAGTAGCTTCTCCCGGTCCGGATGTCTCGCCTTGGGTACGTTGTTGGCGTTACAAACCATCAGGTGTACTCCATTCACCTCCTGTAAGCGACAACTCACATGTTCCTCTATCCTAAGATAAGGAAGACCTGCACATGTGCAGGTAGACATAGCCGCGCGAGCATACGTTTGCTGGTTGTGCAAAATTTCGGCCACGGACTGGTTTTTAACCTAGACCGTCCGAACTTTGCTTCGTGAGCGCTTCGCCATACATTCCGGTAACTTGAGTTCCTCTATCTTGTCATTAACGAACTTCCTAACCTCAGCCAGTCTTACCCTATCGTTGTACTTCACTTTGACGGTGAGATTAGCTCCCATCACCCAGCCTGTCTTCTCTTTTATCGTTCGCCCAATCAAACGTCTCAGATATGAGCGAGTTGACTTCTGCTGGAACTCCTTGGCTGCTTTGTACAGTCGAAACATGCTGTCCACGTTCGCTAGGCTAACCTGGTGTATCTTCCTTGGATTGTGCAGTAGCGCCACCAAAGTCTTCTTGTCTGGTCCGCTCTTGGGTTTCCACTTTCTGAGGTACTTGACATGCATCGTACTTCCGCTTTCCAACTGGTTCCTGCATTTAGCCAACTTCAACGCCTGTCCTTCGACTTCGACGTTTGTTGCTCCGAACGTTTTCCTCACCTTCTTCCAACCGTCCATCCAACTGTTCCCTCCATTTGAAAACATTCGAAAGTTCCTAGTACCTATCCGTTCGGCTTCGTCCAGTAGTTTGTACAAGCCGTTCTGCCATGCATCCTCCTCTGTGAGTCGAAACTTGATGATCTCTACCGCTCGTCCGTCCCCACTCGTCTTCCGCTGCACTCCCATCGTCCTCGTTCCGATTTACCCCTTCTCTGCTTCTTCTTTCGTTTGGACTTCTTGATCATACCGCTCACATTCAATGTCGGTGACCATTTGCGTATGTACAGCTGCTCGAGATCCAACAGATCTTGCGTCTCGGCCTCGTCAACAGGTAGGATGACGTATGTCTCGGCTCCAAAACTCCTCCACCGGCGATAGAGATGCGTGTTCTTCTCGTTCTTGGTACACAACGCGATGTGTTCCTTCCATCTCACGTTTACATCGCGGCCTGTTTGCCCGATGTACGTTGCCTTGCATCTCGGCGATACCAATGTATAAACGCCTTTATGCTTGTCCATGAAGTCTGGGCCGTACTTCTTGAACAGACGCATCCAAGCTGCCGTGTACTTCGACAGCCACTTCACCCTCCCTGTAATCCCCAAGAGGACAACCACTACTCTATATAGTCTCTCAACTGCGTAATCAAACCTATCTTGCTTTCGATGCTTGATGAGCCCGTGACACAGCGCCCAAAGCACTTGTCCTTCCTCCGCGAGTCACCTCTCGTCCTTGCCCTCGCTTGTCGATTGTGATGATGGTGTCTGCTGATCCTCTTCGGTATCTTCCACGGTAGTTGCCTCCTTGTTCCCGCCTCCGTATGCTTCTTCGGCTCTTTTTTCCGCCACGTTAATGACGGCCAGCACTTTGTTGCCATAGTCAATTTCCTCGTGTCGACACAGCCTTTTGAGATCGTCAACATGAAAATCAGCAAGCTGACGCATATTATCCATGACAAATTGCGTCTTCCCAGCAGAGTCCACCTTGGCAGCGATCTTAGTTCTAGGTGTCCCTTTCTTCGGTGTATATCGCTTAGGAGATCTGCCGCTTTCGTCGCCTTGCTTGTCCTTCTTCGTTGTCTTCCTCGTCATCACAGCTTGCAGATCAGCAACCAATTTTACCGGTTTACAACATGATTTTCCCGGTGTTCTCTTCGGTGGCATTTCCATAGGTGGACTATTCCCGATAACCTTATCGGGGCTCCGTTTACGCTTCTCCTTGATAGATAGCTCCTTGGCCCTCTGACTGATCTCGTCCAGGACACTTGTCGCCCAATCTCTAGAGCAGGACACCGGTGATGCCGATGATGCGGGTGACGCTGCCTGCTGCTTTCCTTTGATGATGTTATGGAACTCTTCCATGTTCTTTCGCATCTCCTCTTGCATCTGCTCTCGTAATCCACCTATGCACACTGCCATATGTAATCGCATCGCCTTATCGAATTCCATTTTTTCCTCCTCCTCTTTCTTTTTCTTGGCCAGCTTTTTAGCTGCTCGACTTTCCTTAGCCCTGCGGGCTTCCTCTTTTGCTTGACGCTCAACTTCTTCGCGCTGCTGCTGTTCCAACTTCTCTCGTTTCTTCCGTTCCTTCATTTCCTTCTTTGCGTTCTCCTTTTCGATGTATTTTGGAAACTTGCTATCGATTTGCCGAAATCATCCAACTGTTTTTTCACAACTTCGTCAACAACTGGTTCAGGTTTCTGTGTGCCTGAACTGCTTGCGCCTCCTTTTGTTATCGCCACTTCGCTCCGCTTCCAACACTGGTTCCTGTAATGTCCAGCTTCGCCGCACTCAAAACACACGGGTGGTCCTCGTCTTGTGTAATCGCTTCCACCAGATTTCCCGGCGTTACTCTCCTGGTAATCATCGCGGCTTCTTCGATAGCCGCGGTCTCCCATCCTCTCAGATACCGTAAGCCCAGTATCTAGGTCTTCGCTGGTCACACTCGTATTCCACTCCGTGGTTAAAGTCCGAATTCGTCAATTCTCTTCGCAACTTCGTAACTCCGTTCTCCGTCAGTCAGCATACCTCCGTAACGTCTTACATGTTCACACATCGCCCAACAACACGTCTCCATGCAAGTTCACATGCGCCTTACAGATGAGTATAGAAGGTGAGAGAGTTGCAGACTTCAACATACACAGAGTACCCATCAGCATACACAGTACACGTCGGCATACACATAGTACACATTGGTTACAAAATCTCAAGTACACTTCTGCATAGTAATGCGTCAGGTACAATCAAGTACACTTCTGCATAGTAATGCGTCAGGTACAATCAAGTACACTTCTGCATAGTAATGCGTCAGGTACTAAACTGTGTTACCGGCAGGTAAGGCACCCCGACCGGTTTCGACCGCCGCCACGCGGTCTTCCTTAGGGGGAAACCACCTTCGTCTTCCCTAAAACTTCTCCCTTACTGTCCTCTAGCCCACCGCCGTCTTCGTACCTCCAACCATTTCTGGAATGACTAGTTTCCGTCAACGTAGGGCCTGAAAAGATGGTACCAAACACAGTCTTTCCTTATATCCCTAATAGCTACGGTACCTCGGATTCCACTAGTCTCTAACACTGACATCCAAAGTGCTGCAGTCGTCCCCTTGTAGTTAAGGCTAAGTCCTCAAAATTATTCAAAACAAAACTAACAATCCCAAAATACCAGGCCCTTTTTCCGAGCACTGGCTCAACCTGTTAGCCCACATACTGCAAGCTACGTCAGGCCTAATCTCAACACTGACCAGAAAAAGTTTCCCATCTGGCCCAACTCACACACTTGTCATCCCAATAGACTCGTTCACATGACCTATATGCCACTTTATGGAACACTGCATGATTGCTGCTAACGCACATCGGACTGATTGAACGACAATACCGAGAGAGAGAGAGAGAGAGAGGAAAACGTAGGAGCACTTACGACCCTGCATACAAAAGCAAAGGGATGTGCTTGTAATGCGAACCTCAATTTTCGTTATACTTTGTTAATAGATTTTCTCATTTTGCTACAAGCATGTTTCACCTTGTAGGCAGTGCCCATGAAACACTTTTTGTAATTGTATTATGTTTACTTGCTTTATTTTGTTGATATGCCTATTTTGTTTGCATGTTCCAACTTCCAACAATATTTGCTTAATTTTTTGTGCTATTTGCTTACTATTCTTTATCAAATATGCAATAACTCTCTGAAAATTGTCAAACACGGTATTGCGAACTAACTATTGACTTGTACGTCGCCTTTTTATTTTGCATCTCGCAAACACAAAAATGTTTATGCTCGCTGAGCGAGTGTTATTATTGTCCACCACACACGTTTCCACCCGCGTGCAACTATGCTCTTCAATCATAATCATAATCATCAAAGTGTTGCTACTGGTTTCGAAATTGCTTCATTTGCGTTTCTTGTTAACATCTCGAGAGTCTTACCCAATTTCAATATCTTTATTTCTTGCATTACATGACAATGACATTGTGTTGTATGTGTTCAAACTGCGAGTGATCCTTATTATACTTACCTAAGTTACCTTCTAATTGATGATTGTATTTCCTGACTTCTTAGTGAACGTCACGATTCCTCTGCAGTGTTCCGAGTCTGTTGTGTTTCTCCGCAAAAATCATTTTTACGGTTTTACCCGCTTCACACATCTATAAAAGCTGCCCGATTTCGAAAATCATCTTCTTTCTGTTTTTGAACTCTCTTCATGCTCAAATGAGACTCATATTCACGCAACCAGAGATGCACTCGTCCATCTTGTTATTTATTATATTTATAATATACTTTTTTAATTATTATTTTTTAAAAATTATAATGAGGTGTGTGTGTGTATGCGTGTGTGCATGCGCGTATGTGTGTGTATATATGTGTCTGTGGTGTCATATTTATTATACAAAACTTCAAAAAAAATCATTTTTACGGTTTTACCCACTTCACACATCTATAAAAACTGCCCGATTTCGAAAACCATCTTCTTTCTGTTTTTGAACTCTCTTCATGCTCAAATGAGACTCATATTCACGCAGTCGGAGATGCACTAGTCCATCTTGTTATTTATTATATTTGTAATATATATTTTTTTATCATTATTCTAGAAAAATTATAATGAGGTGTGTGTGTATATGCATGTGTGCATGCGAGTATGTGTGTGTATATATGTGTTTGTGCTGTCATATTTATTATACAAAACGTCAGAAAAAATGAACATGATCTTGCACACAAAATTGATTTACTGATTGACGTGACTGATTTTATTTTATTTTATTAATTGATTATATGATTGATTAATTGATTGATTGATGGGTGGATGGATGGATCGATGGATGGATTGACTGATTAATTTGTAAAGGAAAAAAATAAAAAATTAGGAAAACAACGAACGAAAAAAAAAACAGGGGGGGTAATTGGAATATTTGACCCCTTATCTTCATTGAATTTCAGGGTTTTTTTGTTTTTTTTGCCAGATAACCTTGAAATTTGGTAACACATAACATATATGTAAAGAAATTGGCAAAAAAAAATTCAAAAAAAAAATTGCGCTCCAAATCAGGTTTGGTGGGCCCAAGACTTTTTCGGTAGTGAGTCCGTTAACACCCTGAATGACCTGAAGACATGGAATGTTCGGGGGAAGAGGGGTGGGGGGGGGAGGGGTAAACCTCCCCCGAAAATTTGGGGCGGTAACAGTAGTTTTGACCCTTCTTTACTGCCAGCGAACTCATTGGTTAACCTTTCTTAGTGCGCACAAATTGCATAACTATGAATGAATTGGAAATTTGGCAGCACTATTTTAAGTTGAAGAGATCGTTCGTTAAAGGAGATAAGACTTCAGTCGATCTTCTAGTTTTTTGCTGCATCGTTCAACGCTATTTATGTTTTTTAATAAGAAAGGATTATAGTTGATCTCTTGCGTCCAACCTACAACCGTCAATACTGATAATTCCTTAGCTACTTTTGTCATATCGTGTGACAAAATTCTTTCAGTTCATACGTTGGACCTACTTTCCAAATCAAGTTGAAGTTGGGTAATCATCTAAGTACTTACGGTTTGTTTGTGATGATTTATGGACTCATGATTCTTCACTTGGAAACATATAAAGTTAAAGTGAAAAAGTAGTTGTTACTGATAGGCCTACAAGTTGTCCACTAGTGTTGGCGGTAAGCTACCCGTATTGTGTCAAGAGATCATGTGTTGGATGGACCCCAATTGGCCTCAAATGTACCCTCCCTTATGCAAGCTTGCTGTACGGCAGTTCTAGCACAACCCTATCTGACAGGGCCCGAAAGTCGGGGAAAGGTCCGATGGGGCCCATGAAAATATACACTATATAAACACGCTTACACAACAACACCCCACACAACAACACGCACCCCCCCCC